TTATTTAGACTAGAAAAAAATGTAATCTAGATCTTATATTATATATTATATAGAATATATAGATCTAGTCGTCTAGATCTCCAGATCTAGACTAGAAACTAGATATCTAGATCTACTAACTAAAAAGTTAAAAAAGTAACAACTACAATCTAATCTAGATCTAGATCTAGCTAGTTAGCTAGATTTGCTAGACTATCGAGATTCTAGAATCTAGATCAAGATCTACCTAGATCTAGAAAATCTTAGATCTAGATCTAGATCTAATTTTAAAATTTAAGTACTGTTGAACTTTATGATATAGATCTAGAATTCTAGATCTAACCCTAGATCAGTAGATCTAGATTAGATATATATATATATATATATATATATATATATATATATATATATATATATATATATATATATATATATAGGCCTATATATATATATATATATATATATATATATATATAGGCCTATATATATATATATATATATGGGAGCCGGACGTTTTCCCGAAAGACACTTGCCCGAATGCCGTTTGCCCGAAGGCCGATTTCCCGAATGGACACTTGCCCGAATGCGACAAACGCCCGAATGGACACTTGCCCGAATGCGACATATATTATATCATAGTAGGCCTATAGTTGCTGATTTTAATTTTAAGATTCTTAACTTGTTGTGTAAAGAGATAATACATGTTGTATATTGGCCAGGGGCGTAGCGAGGGAAGGGGGGGGCGGAGGGTGTGGACCGCACCGGGTGACACCATTTAGGGGGGTGACACCAAGGCAAAAAGTAGCAAAATATATAGAGAAAAACTTGAGGGGGGTGCACATCGAAAGTTTGAGGGGGGGGGGGTGCAAATAAAAAACTTGAGGGGGGATGCAAATCGAAAGTTTGAGGGGGGGGGGGGTGCAAATCGAAAACTTTAAAGTTTGTCCCCGGGAAGGGCCGCAACGCCTCTGGGGGGTGACACCATTAAGTGCCGCACCGGGTATCACCCGACCTCGCTACGCCACTGATATTGGCCTTATTTCTGCTAACTTAAGGCCTAAATGGCATACTCAATGCTAAATTATGATATCGATGCTTTTAAAAGCAAAACTAGTTATGCAGCAGACGATCATCTTGCTTCGTTGCATTAGCTAACTGGTACTTGGAGTACGTAGGCCTAGCATGAAACCTGTTAATTAATTAATTAAATAGATCTAGATCTAGACTAGATTTAAAACGATTAAGAATCTACACTTAATCTACATTCTAGATCTAGATTTCTAGAGTAGATCTAGATCTAGATTCTAGTAGGCTACTAGATTCTAGTAGATCTAGATCTAGTAAAATCTAGATTCTAGATCTAGAATAGATCTAGATCTAGAATTCTCATACTCATAGAGTTCAAAATTACTTAAAACATAAATAAGTTAAATTAGATGTAGATCTAGAATGTAGATTTCTAGATTTATCTAGATCTAGACAAGAATCTAGATTGGTAAAACTCCATTTTACTTTTAGCGTATTTTATTCTCCGTTGCTTGTTTAGGGCCTACTTCCAGTTGAACGTATTTTATTATAACAACCGAAACACACCAAAACATTAGCCGTTAGGAAAACACGATTTATTTTTTGTATTGTATTTTTGTTTTAGCAAATGAATAAAAATGAATATTTAAAAAACACGACTAGATTCTAGATCTAGAATTTTAGATAGACTCTAGACTATATATTCTAGATCTAGATCTAGATCTAGATCTAGATCTAGTTATTTATTTAGACTAGAAAAAAATGTAATCTAGATCTTATATTATATATTATATAGAATATATAGATCTAGTCGTCTAGATCTCCAGATCTAGACTAGAAACTAGATATCTAGATCTACTAACTAAAAAGTTAAAAAAGTAACAACTACAATCTAATCTAGATCTAGATCTAGCTAGTTAGCTAGATTTGCTAGACTATCGAGATTCTAGAATCTAGATCAAGATCTACCTAGATCTAGAAAATCTTAGATCTAGATCTAGATCTAATTTTAAAATTTAAGTACTGTTGAACTTTATGATATAGATCTAGAATTCTAGATCTAACCCTAGATCAGTAGATCTAGATTAGATATATATATATATATATATATATATATATATATATATATATATATATATATAATATATATATATAGGCCTATATATATATATATATATATATATATATATATAGGCCTATATATATATATATATATATGGGAGCCGGACGTTTTCCCGAAAGACACTTGCCCGAATGCCGTTTGCCCGAAGGCCGATTTCCCGAATGGACACTTGCCCGAATGCGACAAACGCCCGAATGGACACTTGCCCGAATGCGACAAATGCCCGAATGGACACTTGCCCGAATGCGACAAACGCCCGAATGGACACTTGCCCGAATGCGACAAATGCCCGAATGGACACTTGCCCGAATGCGACAAATGCCCGAATGGACACTTGCCCGAATGGGACAAATGCCCGAATGGACACTTGCCCGAATGCGACAAATGCCCGAATGCCACTTGCCCGAAGGCCGTTTGCCCGAAAAATGTAAATATTAGATAATAAATAATTTTTCCAAAAAGACATTCTTTAATCAATTTAAGTTTGAAATTTTGATTGTTAACACAATTCTAAGCATAAAACAAAGTTGTTTATATTTTTAAATTTAGCTTTTTTTTTTCAAAACTGAGAAAGTACAGTAAGAAAAACTTTATTCTTTAATAAATGTAAGGTGATGTTGGCGGCGGTGTTCTAACATTCTTTTAATGAACGAGCCGGCCCGCGGCATAACATACGCCGCTATTTAGTTGTTTCTAATTTTCAATAATTCATAATTTGTGAATTCGACAGTACCAACGCTGACACTAAAAATATTTCTTTAAAACACTATAAGTAGCTCGTTAAGGACCATAACCCCCCCCCCCCTTCCTTCCCTCCTCCCCTCCTCCCCCCCCCCCCCCCCCCTACGTTTAAAATCGTTGGCTCTGCTTGTAAACATTTAGAGTGAACACAGCTCACTAAAACCATGTAGGGGTGGGGAGGTAGGGAGAGCGTTTGCAGCTTGTTTTCTAACGGCTCGAAGAAGAGAATTATATATATAGATGTTTTGAACACCTTGTTTAGCCGACGTGTTGCGGTGGTTATATAGCTTTTATGACACGGCGTAGGCGGCGCGGCGTCTCGCAACATTGAACAGAGTCGCGTTTGTTTGTTTATCTTATTATTCTTAACTTGTGTGGTGATCATTTAACAAAAGAATGAGGCGAGGTCTAGGTGGCAACTTAAAAACTAAACGTGGTCAAATATGTTTGATCTCCATTTAATGCACCTTGTTAAGACAATGTGTTGAAGCGATTACTTAATAAAGAAAGCAAAACTCATTTTAAAATCCAGAGATGAATGAAAATTGTATTTTTGTCTAATTTCATATATGGAAGAGAAAGTATATTTCTACACTTTTTAAATATCAAATACAAATTAATTTAAAATGTCTCATTATTTTTTTCACTTTCTTTTTGCGTAGATGTGTTTTGTTTACCAACATTTTAAATTTAAATTGATTACGAATGATTATTAAGTAATATATAATGTTAACATTTTTCGGGCAAACGGCCTTCGGGCAAGTGGCATTCGGGCATTTGTCGCATTCGGGCAAGTGTCCATTCGGGCATTTGTCCCATTCGGGCAAGTGTCCATTCGGGCATTTGTCGCATTCGGGCAAGTGTCCATTCGGGCATTTGTCGCATTCGGGCAAGTGTCCATTCGGGCATTTGTCGCATTCGGGCAAGTGTCCATTCGGGCGTTTGTCGCATTCGGGCAAGTGTCCATTCGGACATTTGTCGCATTCGGGCAAGTGTCCATTCGGGAAATCGGCCTTCGGGCAAACAGCATTCGGGCAAGTGTCTTTCGGGAATTTGTCGTAGACCCATATATATATATATATAGGCCTATATATATATATAATATATTCTAGATCTATAAGACTATAAGATCTAGAGATCTAGGTTTTTATCTAGACTTATAGACTAGAAAAAAATCTAGATCTTATATTCTTATAATTATACAGACTATTATAGACTCTATATAATCGTATATATTATTTATAGGCCTAGATCTCATATAATTTTCTTCTAGATCTAGAGATAGATCTCTCGCTCTCTAGATTTAAAATCTAGACTTGACTCTAGCTAGTCTAATTATCTAATATTATACTAATAGTTACTAGATCAAATTTCAAACACTGCGGTTTTGCATAAAACATCAAAATCAAGTAGATCTAGATATAGATCTATCTAGATTATCTAGGCCTATAGATCCAGAATCTAGAGTCTAGGCCGAAAACCGGAGAGTGACTGCGGCGTTGGGCATTGTGCAGATCGCAAAGAACTCTAGATATAGATCACAATCCAGACTCTAGTAAGTAGATCTAGATCTAGTCTAGTATTTAGAATAGACTAGATCTAGAAATCTAGACTCTAGGAGCTAGTAGATTTAGAATTCAGTAAGTCTGGATCTAGATCTTGAATTCTAGAGTTTTCTAGACTAATCTAGCTAGACTAGATCTAGATTTCTAGCTCTTAAAAACTAGACTAGTTTCCCCATAGTCTGTCTAGATCTATATTCAAATCCATGGCTAAACTAGTGAAGTGGTAACCATCCTAGGGTCCTAGAGTTATAGACAGACATAGGGTTAGAGTTGTTAGACGGTTAGAATAGTTTTAAAAAGTAATTTTCGTATGTTACCACACACTAGCTCTAGTTTAAAGAAAACGTTTTAAAATTCTAGGTCTAGACCTTCTCTTGACTTGGGTTAGCAGCCAAGAGCTTAGGAGGTTGTGGTTAAATATCTTACAGTCATTGAAATATAATATAAATGTACTAACACAATCTCCAACTAAAATTACATGACTTTATTTACTTTATAATACTTTTAAAGTTTAAAGGGTTCCTGTGTTTATCTAACCTTAATAAACCTTAATTGTTTTATTTCAGATGTTAAAGTTTTGGTTCTGCTGTGTGTTCAAATGCCATTCTGTCTTAGCAAGAAAAGAGGTTGTATTTAAGGACAACATTAAAGTGTTTGAATTGTGTGAATATTGTAAGCTATATTTAATTTTTTGAATTTTTAAAAATGTTCATAAAAGTTACATAATTTAATTTATTTAAATTTAAACTCATTTTTGGTAGAACATTAAATTTTAAACAAAATTAAGTAGGCCTACATAGCTTACTTGGTAATATAATTTGTATAACAAAAATTAGTCACATTTGTGAATTTCCTTCACCACCACTGTTATCAATAAAGAGTAAAAATTAATTATAGTATATGGTATATATATTATATGACACGAGCCGGCCCGCGGCATAACATACGCCCCTATTTAGTTGTTGTTTTTTCTACTTTTCAGTAATTCATAATTTGTGAATTCGACAGTACCAACGCTGACACTGAAAATATTTCTTTAAAACACTAAACCCCCCTCCCCCTCCCCCTCCCCACGTGAAAGCAGCCTCCTCTTAATTACCTCCTCTAAGTTTAAAATCGTTTCAAACTAAATTATCTGCCCCTAATAGCCGTCACCAAACCCGTCTCTATGATTGTAAAATGTAAACAGCGTGAACCACAGCTCACCAAACCATGTGAGGGAGTGGGGTGGGGGTGGTAGCGATAGAGAGGAAGAGAAGGGACTGTAAGGCGAGGTTGCAGCTTGTTTTCTAACGGCTCCCAGAAGAGAATTATATATATATAGATATGTTGTGATACTATATTGTATTATTTCAGAGCATTATTTCAAGGTCGGACAACTATCTGTTTATTCTAACAACGTTTACTTGAGAACAGAAAGGTGTTTGTATTCAAGGTTCAAGCTGAAACATTTAATAGTCTCCAAGTTGTAAGTGTTCACAAATTTAGAAACTTACATTTTTTTTTTTTTTGTCAGACAAGAAGAAATAAGTATTGCTATTTACATTAATATTTTATTTTTATATAGACTGCTCAGCATATAAAAATTTGATACTATAAAGCGTAAAGTTATTACCTATTTTGCTAATTTAACCCTTTATCTACTGACGGTACTTATAAGTACCACTTTAATTAAGTGTCTGTATTATTTTTAAATTTAATACAAATCTAAAAATTATTGGTGTATTTAATAGTATTATCTCCCCTGAGTCGCGGGGAGTCGAAGGTATCAATGTTTTTTTAGCGCAATTTCCATTCTGGAGAATTGCGTTTATTAACTCGTCTTTTCTGGGAATGGATGAATGGATGGATGGATGTGTGTCCGCAGCTTTAAGTCGTATCTCCTCCTCAACGAAGCAAAATCGAGGACTATTTCCAAAGCAAATATGTTAAGCAAGTTACCAGGATGAACATAGGCCAAAAAAATTCCGGGTTTCTTTCATGGATTTTCCGGAAAAGCCAAAAAACCTAAAAAACAAAATGCAGTTTTTGGCCCATATCTCGGTAACCAGACCACTTAGCGACTTGAAACATGTACCATTCGATTCCTGCCATAATTTAGAACAATATTGCCGAAGAAAGTTTTTCACAAATATCCTTTCGTTCGGTCACAAATTTTTTTGAATTTATTAAAATTTGGACCGAATTAGTAGGCATTTTATCCAACCACACCACACGCGTCATCACGTTCAATAGCTGCGCCATCACGTTCAATGGCTGCGACATCACGTTCGGTAGCTAGGCGCGCAATGGTTTTTAGTCATGTTACTCTATTGTAAATAAAACATGTAAAATACTAAAAAAAATTAAATAAAAAACGTTTTAATAACTAACCAATGGTTTTACTAACCCTGCTCTTGATTTACGCTACGACAGAGCTATTTTTAGATAACATAAGGAAATTGCGCTAAAATTGTCACTAGACTTTTTTTAAATACTTGTTTTTAAATAAATGGTGTGGCGCTTTTTCAATGTCTTGTTATATCGGTAGTTCACAATTTTTCTGTACATTTCTCACACACGTTCCTGATTTCCCTTATTTTTTCTCATTTTTCAAGTTTTCAACCCCAAATATTTTGTATTGGCACCTTCAATAGTCAGGCAAACGCGTTTAACTTCTAGTTATACAATTTTAATCAAATTATCTTTATATTAGATCGATGTTTATAAGTGGACTTATAAGTACCGTCAGGGCACACGGTCATTTTTTTTTAGGATTTTTAGAAAATGGCAGATTTGTTAGGTGGAGTTACAAAAATATTGTCTTGGCAATTAATTATCGAAATGTACTCAAAAATGATATTTACACATTTATAAGGTTTGCATATGGTTTACCTAAGAAATATTGTAATTACATGTTAATTTCTAGTAGTAGGAAATAACAAGAATAAAGGTATCAATTGCAGGCTCGTTTACAAGGTTTAATATACTTCATTTGTATACCAAAGCCTAGTTCTAGTTGTAAGATTTAATTTGTTAGTTATATTTACTGCAATAAACTGTCTTGCCTACAACAACTAGCATTTACATAATGTATACCTGTAGACTAGTAATAGTCCATACTTCTGCATATAGTATAGATCTATAAGATTAATTTTTAATCAGTAAACAGAAAAGAGCAATCCACTACTTCTTCCAAGACACATTGAGCTCACTTCTATTTATGAACTTTGCACTGTAGTGTAGACTTGTCATAACATTTTAGTAGGCTACAATTGTACTAGTATTACTAGTAGTTGCGTGCTGAATGACTAGGCTTTTGTTTGTTTATGCGGCTCATTGTACTAGTTATTGGAAGCTTCCAGCAAAAGCATATTCATTCCGGCAACCGTTGCTACACCAGAAAGACCACAGACAGGATTGAGGGAGCATGACATGTCGACTACTTTTGCTGTGTTTGAGGTCTAAGATGTGTTCCGATAGAAAATCCAGTAAAAATCGTACCCAAAATGTACTTTTGTGCTGTATTTATATGTGAAAATTACAAAAAGTGATTGTTTTAATGATTGCCATGTTATTAGTTAATAAATTGTATCGTTTGTTCCTTTTTTGTAAAAAAAAAAAATTGAAAAAAAAATGTCCTAGATTACTGACGGTACTTATAAGTACCAATATCTGTTTGGGTCATTAAAAATTAATGAAACGAAATTTCCATCGACATGAATGTGCTAAAAGCAATATAGTAACACATTGTTTAAGTAAAAATCTCATTCAGAACATAATTCCGTAAATAAAGGGTTAACCATTTTAAATTTTCTATGGTATCATTTTTTTTTTTAGAATTAAAATAAATCTTAAGATGTTTTAATAATTTTTAAGATTATTACTGGTATATAACGTTACTTATTTTATACTACAGCAGTATAGGCCATGGGCAATTCCTACAGAAAGCCAAAAAGGAAACAGGAGGCACACAGTTCAGGTAAGAAAAAAGTTGATTTAAATTCATTTAAAAATGGTCAGGTAATTTGTTTTACAATTCTGAAATCATATGTTATTGCTTATCAAGCTGTACAGTTAAAAAATGTGTGTACTGTTACAATAAATGTCATAATAATTATAGCTCTATTTCACAACAGTAGCAGTATGCACAGAGGGCTTTTTTTAACATTGGCTGTTTAAAAACATTTTTTCAACACATTATAAATGGTGATTGAATATTAAAGATGTAGTAGAAAGTGAAAATTTAGAAATATATGTCTGTAAAATTTAAATTATTAGCTATTATTAAATTAGCACTTTTGTAGCATTGTTTTTTTCTGTAAGATGGAAATTAAACTTATACATTGTTTCAGTTGTGTCAAGCTGTGAAATTCAAAACAAGCAAATTATGATTAAAGAATCAGGTGTATTTCATCCAGGTAAGATATACTAAAACAGTTAAGGCAATTATAATGTAAACAGTTTAATATATGTGCTAGTTTAATATCTGTAGTAAACTTGTTCCATTAAAATGCAGTTTATCATTAAATCTAACATTTCTGTTGCTAGAGAAATAATTTGTTGTCTGTTCCTGTAGGAAATCATGAAGCTGAGATGTGCTATGGAGGAGAAGCTGATCTACACAAACATGTTACTGGCTGTATGAAGAATCCAGGTCACAAAGATTTTATACCTCTTAAAGATTTCAACTCAAATTGTCTCCCCCCACGTTACCATGACGACGACCTCATATCTGAGACAATCAAAACATTTGCAGCCCTAACTGTCCAGGTAAAGACTGAATTCACCAGTCTAGAGAGACCAGAGTTTTACCCAGGCACTCAAGTTCCATACCCATGTTATAATGAAAGAGGACGTAACGTGTTGAGGTTAGGGACGGGGAGAGTTTGGAGTTTGAACAAGTTCAAAGAGAGTGACAGAATAATTTTTGCTAGAAAGGGAACTTGTCGTTGTGCTAAGTGTCAAGTCTCTGCCACACCCAGCAAAGTGTGGGGGGAGGTTCATGTGGTGACAGCCACACACGTGGTGTTTGATGCCAGTGAGGCGAGACAGACCAGGTGTGTTTTAGGTTTTGATGACAATAAAAGTCCAGTGGTCAGTCTTGATGGTTGGGAGGTGGGGCAATTCACATTCATTGAGAGAGACTTGTGTAAGTTGAGTTATGTGACATGTGACTTAAAGTTGCTTGATGAACTGGAAAAGATGAGGCGGCAATTAAATCGTCTATGTAGGGACGTAAGGGACAAATACGGGAGATTTGTTGATGAGGACAAGTTGACCGTTATAGTGTCACATCCTCATGGCTGTCCTAAACAGGTCTCTGTAGGACAATGGACACACAGACATGGGAGGGTTGGCTGGAGGAAGCACATTATGATGGGTGGCGATAAGACCAGGTACTGGTACACAACATGTACATGTCCCGGCTCCAGTGGAGCGTGTGTCTACAGGCTGGGATGTGACGGGTGGTGGTGTGGCCATCCCCACAGTGGATCAAACTCTGAAGGAAATTATAGTGGGGAGTATTTTCACTGATGTAACTGTTAGTTCTCTCCCCTTGTCTACACAATGTAAACAAACAAAATGGCGGAACCATTCCCGTCATTAAACAGTTTGTTTATAGACTGGCATGTGTTGTAAACATTTTATCACATTTAAATGATTAAAACAAATGTTTTAATAGATGTAAACCGTTTAACCGTTATAATGTTCATGTACATTAATGGGATTTATAGTTTTTTTTTTAAATGTTGTAAATAATTTGCTTGTACTTTTTGTCGGTAAGTTGTTGTCATATATATGATATACCTATACTGTTAATTAAATGTAACCTACCTGCTAAATGTTATATACCTACAGGCTGGCTATTACCTGTTAATTAAATGTAACCTACCTATCAAATGTCATATTCATGCTGTTTGAATTTAACTAGACAACATTAAATGGTAACAGAAAATATCTTTTTACTGTTGTTATTTAAATCTTTGTTGTCTGTTGATGTTTAAGTTGTTGTTAAACAGAGCATGTTGTGATGTCGATGTTCGCGCCAGGTTGTCATGGGTTTGTAAGTTTAAACTTTACAACAAAGTCCATTTGTTTATGCTCAATACACCCGTAAGACTAATTTAAATGAGATAATTAAAAAAATGAGGAATTCTAATAATTTAAAAATATTCGACACATCGCATACTATATTTAGATACTTCGTCGCTTCTAGACCTGCTCCAATAGAAATGTTAAGTGAAGAAGTAGTTTGATGCTGTCATTGACTGACATTTGTGTAAACACTGCTGTCATTGACTAGAAATCCTTGAACAAACTGACTGTGATATTGTAAAACATCTTTTGCATATGTTGATAATTGGCAGTGAAAGAACAACTAGTATAAATGTAAAACACGGAATATAAGCTTTTAAACATGAAAACTGTAAACCGTGGCATAAATAACGCAATGGAGAAATGGGACGACTACGCGCATTTTATCCCCAATGACACGAGTTTGATTCCCATGTTAGATTACCTTTTTTGTTGCACTAATGTGATGTGTACCTGGACATGTTTGGAGAAAAATAATTTGTCTAGATGTTCCGTGTAGGCTCAATGACATAATAAGTCATGGGTATAACACCAACACATGAACTCTACTTTCTCTGCCAAATTGCCTGCATGCTATGCAAGTTAGTTAAAGTTGCTGGTCAATTTAAATATAATATGTAACACAATGTTTAACACAACTGTTACACCAATCCTACTAAAGTTGAAATATCGATACATTTTCAGGATAGCATGTACATTAATTAGGGATTATATCGGTTTCATGTTCTTCGCATATCAGAAGAAGACTCCCGAACATAGCACTAGAACGGACTCCACCAGGAAAAGAGAGGAAGACTACTGGGAACATGGAGGAGAGAGATGGAAGAAGTGCTGGGTACTGACAAGATCTGGTATGAACTGAAGTGGCTCGCCCAATGCAGAGTGGAATGGTGGAGACTTGTGGCAGCCCTATACTCCACAGGAAGGGGCGAGGTTTAAGTAAGTTAGTATATCGGTTTCATAAGTATACACTCTGTAAGATATTGTGATAAAAACAATGTTAAGCGACAGTGCGATCTCCAAATTGAAATATACGTTTTTATAATCTAGGGGAAGTAACAATAAAAATAATTGAATAAAAAGCATTTACATAGTTGTATCCCTGTTTATTAAATTTGACGTTTTACATTTTTGTATTTCACAATAAATTATTCTTATTCACCCGACAGCTTGCAAAATATACATTTAAAGAAAATGCTATTAAAATATTTAAATGACAGTCCACATTCTGGGATAAAATTCAGTCTATTTCGGTTGTTTGCAGTTCTTTTCTTTTAAATCAATTTCCAATGTTTCAGCCTACATCAGTTCCTGCAATGTAAGCAGTTCCTTTGTTGTTGGGAGAATAATGTTTTTAACAGAGCGAATTAAATTGATAACAAGATAAGTACAACACATTGTTACCGTCACAGAGTATAGTGTACATGGAACAGATGAAGTAGAGTTCCTCAATAGCAACAGTTGTAGATTTGTTTTATTGAACGTTTACAGCAAGGATGTCAAACATTTAAACCTTCTAGATGATACAGCATTTTGAGTATCAAAATCAGGGGCGGAACTACAGTACCGCCAGACTCCGCAATGCCACGCCATTTAGGGGCCCAGAGCCGCTAAATTTTTATAGTTAAAAAAAGTAAATTTTCATTCATTTTTTGACTTGATGGTTGTTTTGTAAAAAATTACCGTAGCTGCGGTTGGATTATCTTTATTCTATAGACACCACCCCACGCTCTTGTATCTTCTTTTTCCCTTTGGTTTTAAATAACTGTGTAAGTCGAGTCCTTCTCATACAATTAAACTTACCAAAGATAAGCAAATGTTCAAACCACTTCCATGACCTATTTCCCTTTTTTTAAAAATAGGGGAGATCATAAGCTCCTTATCATAGGTTTATACTAAACAAATTAAAAAGCAATTATTTTTCTTAATTATTTTTTTTTATAAGTAATTACTAAAGATTGGTATTGTATAAAAAAGGAAATGTATTAATATGCATTAAATTAATAATATTTAAAACAATCATAATATAACTACAAAAAAAAACCATGAAAATAAACATAACACGAGACACCATTACTAATACAAAGCTTTCATGTTTTATATTATTTTGACCGACAAAATGCCAAGAGGTTCTCTATCAAAAATTAATTAAAACTGATTTGCACAAAACACGCTAATGCACTTACACACATGACATGATGTTGAAAATTTTTATAATTTCATGTTTTTCAAATCCCGAACAGGACAGCAACGAGTATCCCATGCTCGTATTATGTGATTAGGGTTAGGGCTAGGTTTAGGCTTAGGGCTAGGGCTAGGGCTAGGGCTAGGGCTAGGGCTAGGGCTAGGGCTAGGGTTAGGGTTAGGGCTAGGGCTAGGGTTAGGGTTAGAGCTAGTTTTAGGGTTAAGGTTGTGTCTAGCTTCGGTTTTGGTTTTGTGTGAAATTTTAGGCTAAGGTGGATGCTTAGGTTTTGGTCTTTTTCTTAAGGTTTGGATTAAAGTAGTATACAGGTATAAAATTCTAGTAAGAGTTAGGATTTTTACTTGAGAGGGGGGGGGGGGGGGGGTAATTCCACGTGGGGTAAATGACAGGGGGGTAATTAACAGGGGGGTAATTGCTCCGGGGGGCAAATACGGGCGGGGGGAAATGTCCGGGGGTAAATATCCAGGGGGGTAATGTCCTGTAGCCATATATATATATATATATATATATACATATATATATATATATATATATATATATATATATATATATATATATATATATAAATATATATATATATATATATATATATATATATATATATATATATATATATATATATATATATATATATATATATATATATATATATATATATATATATATATATATATATATATATATATGGGGGCCTAAAAAAATTTTTTGCGGGGTGGCCCTTTTTTTCTAGTTCCGCCCCAAATCAAAATGTTCATTTCTAACTCGGGTTTAGAAACTGTTAAATAGTTTTACTTACACCACTCAATGTATGAAGATGTCCGAGATAGTGGAACATGATGTCAGGCACGTGGTGTGAATGTGGGGGGGGGGGGAACATGATGTCAGGCACGTGGTTAATGCCGAGAGACATTTGGGGGGGGGGGGCTGTGTACGTGATTGAGCGACATATACAACTCAGCATCTCCAGCAGTAGATAGAGCGCTCAACTGTTAGCCGTGTCTTCCTCTACCTAGGTGGTGACTGTGAGCACCAAACATTACAATTGTGGTGTGTCACCAGCTGTAGATTGGGCCATCATTGTGATGTGTCACTAGCAGTAGATTGGGCCACCATTGTGTCACCAGCAGTAGATTGGGCCACCTTTGTGTCACCAGCAGTAGGTTGGGCCACCCTTTTGTCACAAGCAGTAGTTTGGGTCCATCATTGTGTGACCAGCAGTAGATTGGGCCACCTTTGTGTCACCAGCAGTAGATTGGGCCACCTTTGTGTCACCAGCAGTAGGTTGGGCCACCCTTTTGTCACAAGCAGTAGTTTGGGTCCATCATTGTGTGACCAGCAGTAGATTGGGCCACCCTTGTTGTGTGTCACCAGCAGTAGATTGGACCACCATTGTGTCACCAGCAGTAGATTGGGCCTTCCTTGCGGTGTGTCACCAGCAGTAGATTGGACCACACTTGTTGTGTGTCACCAGCAGTAGATTGGGCCACTCTTGTGTCACCAGCAGTAGATTGGGCCATCCTTGTGGTGTGTCACCAGCAGTAGATTGGGCCACCCTTGTGTCACCAGCAGTAGATTGGATGTCATGGGTTGTAAGTTTAAACTTTGCAACAAAGTCACATTGTTTATGTCTAATACACCTGTAAAACTAAGATGAATAAGAACATTTGAAAAAAGTGGAACATCAGGTAGTGTAGTTTTATATTTCGACGATTCTAGACTTGCTCCAATTGAAATGTAAAATGAAATCTTGCTTATGTGATAGACTAAGAGTTGTGTAAGCATTGTTGTCATTCTAATTTACTAGATATCATTGAACAATCTGATGGTGATTTTGTGAATAACTTAAATAAAAGTTTATGGACCGCATTGGTATAGGCCAGGGGTCAGCAACCTTTTGAAGCGGGAGAGCCAAAAGTTACAATTTTCAAAATTTCCCTGGTTTTAAAGAGCCACTAAAAATTTTTTATTTCAAATATTTTATTTTTTATTAAGATTATAAGTACTTGTTTAAGGAGCTGGAGAGCCGCATCTTGATATCAAAAGAGCCGCATGCGGCTCGCGAGCCGCAGGTTGCCGACACCTGGTATAGGCTACTTAACTTGTATTATTGTAAAACATAAAACACTTCAAATATTTCAAAAATTATAACTGTAAAGCGGAACTTTAAAAAATCAACTGGATACATGGGACATGTTCGAGTGATTGAATACAAGCAATTTGTCCCCAAGAGCACGAGTTTAAATCCCAGGTTTGATTACGTACTTTGGTGTACATATTCTTATCTCTCATGTGTACAGGACATGTTTGGAGGAATTAGAGTTCTACTTGGTGTTCCGAATGGACTCAATAGCACAATAAGTCATGGGTAGAACAAATAAATGAACTTTAAATTTTCTACATAACTGAGGAAATTGTATGCATTTCATTTTCAGAGCGTAACACTTTTAACTTAGTAGACGGAGTAATCGGTCTAAGACACCTGAAACCAGGTTAACAACACAGTAGCTAAAATGCCCACAAGTCTCTTCTTGTGCCCTTACAAATTGCTATTAATTAAGGGTGCCATACGGATTTAATAAAGTGTCATATTTAAATCGGCAAGCTGTTTATAGGAATTTTCATGTATTAGATGATATGTAATTATTGCATATATATTCAATTAACTACTTCAAATATATAATAATAAAAACAAGCATTATTGTTTATAACATCAATAATGTTACGCATCCGCATATTTATTATAATTTTATTAATATGATATATTTCTGCTAAACATTTTTGAATAATATCAATATAAGCCTAATGTAAATATCATATTGGATTTTTCCGAAGAATTTTTATATTAATTAGGGCACAACGATGCAGGCCGCCATCGCACGCAAGCATTGAAGTTGTGGTATCCTTTGTATATTAAGTAGGTCAATGAGAATCAGGCAGCCATTGCACTCAAATGGTAAATGCTTTGTTGTCCTTCAGCTACTAAACGTGTGCCAATAATTTCAGAATTGTGTGGAGGCTTTTGATATGTTATATTATAAGCACATCTAGCAGTGAGTATAAACAGAATAGTGTTTAACATATCTTAATACATAGAGTCTAGTATAGTATTAGTGTGCTGGTGTTACACTTGATCAGATCAGCTACCGCATGGAGTGTGTAAATCTGTTAGATATTGATGTGAACATGTTAACGTATGAACTTGCATACTTAAACCTTTATTTAAAGGCCAACTAAGTGAGTAATGTTATGGATCTTGCATATATTATTTTTCGGGTGTGATAATTTTGAAAACTGTGTTATAAACTGTAATGAAACTATATTTTTAATTCTTTTATGTTGATTTCATTATGGACTGTTTGAGTTCTCTTTATACTGCAGCAATTTTAACTTTCGCCTTTTTAGATGACATTTTGATAGAATGTATTCGTGGTGATAGCAAAGAGTCTGTGTTTCTTGAAATTAATGCAACAACAGATTATTAGCAGCAGGAAAATGAAGAAGACCAATAGAAAATAATTATTCTTGCTGCATTAAAAGTAGTCGAATTACCAATTTATGAAATAGAAAAATATACGGGAATGTACGGACTAAGAAAGGCTTCGTTTTTAATACCTTAATTCCCATTACCGCTAGGAATAATTGGCTAGAATTCTCTAATGATTTTCTATTGCAGGTCATGAGTACATTTTATATTAAATCGGCAAATGAGCTTTTTTTTTTTAAATTTATACCTCGTCAGGCGTAGCTAAAACGTACTTTCATTAAATAATTTTCTATCCAAGATTTGAAAAAGACACAGACCGACTTTCAATAATTTTGCCTATCGAAGTATTTTCTTCTTATTATTGTAATCTATTTAACATTTTTTATTAACAATAAACTGTATTTTATACCATTATTTACATTAAAATACCTTCCATTGGCGATAACTTTTTTAAGTGTGAGTGTGACAATATTAACAATTAAATTAATTTTTTACTCTCTCAAAGTATTTGTTAATTGAACCTTATCTGGAAGAAATTAATGATCATCTACAGTTTTCCATGGAAACCGATAATGAAAACAACCTTGAGCAAAAAGGGGTGATTGGCAAAGGTAATTGTTTAATAACTATGTTACTTTTTTATCTTAAAAACATTTTAGTTACAAGCTTTTATACAATAATGCCCTATAGAGATGAAAAATTATTTTTTTATATGAAAAAGAATTACCATTTTTACTAAAAAAAGCGTATGTCGCTTCTTAAATTTTAGTAATGATATTCAATACGTACGTAATAGTGTTTCACAAGCTTTTAAATTAATTCCTTATTAAATTAATTATACATCAGAAATCTAATTTAGTCAAGATTAAATCAAGTTTCATTGTTATTGGTTCCTGACCCTCGTGCCCAGTTAAAAAACAAATCGGTGAGGTAGAAGTGGTCGAACGTTCACTCGCCATTTTCCAGGCACAAGAAAAAAGAGAGAGAAAGCAAGTTAAATATAAGCTTGTGGAAATATATCAGGGGCGGAACTACAATGCCGCCAGACACTTAGTTTTCTTTCATTTTTGACTTGATGGTTGTTTTGTTATAAGAAAACTGTAGCTGCGGTTGGATCATCTTTATTCTATAGACACTATCCCACGCTCTTGTATATTTTTTTCCATTTGTTTTTAAACCATTGGGAAAGATAGGCAAACGTTTAAACCACCTTCATGACTTATTTCCCTTTATTAAATAGTCAAATAGGGGTGCTCATAAGCACCTTTTCCTAGATTTGTACTAAACGATTAAAAAGAGCAATTACTTCTCTTAAATATTTTAACAAATATACATACTGAAGAATGACATAGCAAAAAAATTAATAATATAAAGACAAAAATACATAAAAATAAACATAACACGAGAAACCATTACATTAAAAAAGCTTTGATATTTCATATTCTTTTGACCGACTTAATGTTAAATAATATTACGTCCAACTTTAAATAAAACAGATTTTCAAAACACACTTATATACACTCACACCCATGAGACGTTGTAATTTATATTAATTGAAAAATTAAGACTTTTTTTTTTCAAAACCCGATCAGGCCAGAAATGAGTATCCTATGTTTATATTTTTCGGTTTTTATATGCCTATATATTTATATATATATAGGCCTATATATATATATATATATATATATATATATATATATATATATATATATATATATATATATATATATATATATATAAATGGTAAGGGGGGGTGGGGCCAAAAAAATTTTTGCGGGGTGGCCCTTTTTTTCTAGTTCCGCCACTGAAATATATACACATTTTACTGTTACTTTAAGACTGTTTTTACTATTAAAATATAAATTAGAAAGATGTGCATGATTTAGATGTTTGTTTTTATTAAGTTTTTAGTAATACGTTATTTTATTTTACTCCGATTTTTAAAAAAAATTAACAATATGGATGTAATTCTTAAGATTGGAAAAATGGTGCTTTAATCAGTAATGGTGCTTTTCGATATGTGTACAAACTAGAGTCTCTGAAACACAACAGTAAGCTACAATATGTTGTCGTCAAATTATTTATTGTTTGTTGTGGCATGAACGAATTAAAGGAAAATTTGGTATATTAAACGCATGTTGATAAACAATAGTTTTCATTATGTTTAAATTGAAAATGCTTTAAATACATAATCGCCAGTTAATTAACATGTTTAAACATTTGAAACTGAATAAGTCAAAGCCATAATTATTTAAATATTTTAAAATATATTTAAATATATCAGACTTGATTTATATTTAGTTATTTGGGATACAGACTGAAATATAATTATAAAAGTTATACAGTCTGAGGACGTATGAGCAAGATAAGTGTCCATAAAACATTACCTTATAAATAGTTTAATGTAATTTTTTTTCAAAATATGTCGAATTTGGAAACTAATCGTACCGGTATTTATCAATCAAATATTAATGTGAGTGGCTGTAGTGTTTTATTATAATTATTATCTGTAGTTATACAAGCGAATGTATTGTTTTGTTTCATGTTATAAGCTGTTTCCGGCTATTCTGTTTATATTTTGTTTATATTGTTGTTAATATTTATATTAAGTGTCTTTTTGTATAATTGTCTTATATTTCGTGGCGTGTTATTTGTTATAAGTGAATTAGGGACTATTTGTTGATGCGTAGTGTGCAAGGTGTGTGATGTGAGTTACGGGCAGATGTTTCTAGTCACTTTTGTATGTCAAGGGAATGCGGGAGGCTCTTGTGTGTTCAGAGAAGTGGCGTAGCCAGGACCTTCTCAAGGGGGGGGGGGGGTCCAAATTTTAACCGGGGACAAACTTTTGATTTGCAACCCCCCCCCTCAAACTTTCGATTTGCACCCCCCCCCTTCCTCAAACTTTCGATTTGCACCCCCCTCATAGTTTTTTATATATATACCGAAGTGTCTATGGGGGTTATGACACCCCCTACCCCCCTTGCCTACGCCACTGGTTCAGAGCCTGGACAATCCGAAACATAAGAAGTCAGCACTGCACCATCTATTTGTTTAACCTTGTCGTATTATTTCCTCTAAGCCTGGTAAGCTAGTTGCTCTTGTATTTCCTGTTTTGTAATGTTTGTTGGCATGGGCTAACTTTTTCTGTACATGTATATTTTCTTGTCACCATTGTGGTTTTGCCAGACCACGCGGGGCGGCCAGAATTTATCTTTATTGTAAAGTCTATTTTTTTTATTCGGATGTTTCTGTAATATTTAGGATTATGCTTGTAACCCACTGTTGTGTATTGTGCACAGCATTGATTTTTATTAGTTGAATCCCTTGGGCTTGTGTTAAGCTATGGATAAGGTAAGGTTTATTTACACTTGACCCACAGTTATGGTTTACTCCTGGCTGTTGGGTTAGGTGATATAGGTAATTTTTATTAGTAGTATCCCTTGGGATAAGGTTTGTTGTTGCCTGACCCACTGTTACGGTTCATTCCTGACTGTCGGGTTTGGTCATTTTACTTATAAGCTGTTTTAAACTATTTTTCTGCCGTTATAATCGAATTTCACTTCCTGGGGTGATCTTTGTTTATCCCCAAGAGAGTGTTTCGTTTATTCTAAGTCACTATGTATGTGCAGATGACATTAATAGATAGTATACAATTTGATTGTTCGTGTGTCTAGTGTTGAGGCTGGTAACTGTCTTTTGAGCTAGTAGTTAAGTGCTCAGTGTCCAGCATTACTAAGTGGGATTAAGGGAGACTAAATCTTCAAACAGGAAGCTATTTTTTTAGTCTGTTTATGTACAAACAGTTATTAAAAAAAGACGGCGCTAGCCACTTATGACATCTGTTTGTTGACCTAGGCTACAACAACAGCTATGAAATGTTTTAATATAACGATGACGATGACGATGACGATGACGATGACGATGTTAACGGTAACGGTAACGGTAACGGTAACGGTAACGGTAACGGTAACGGTAACGGTAACGGTAACGGTGACGGTGACGGTGACGGTGACGGTGACGGTGACGGTGACGGTGACGGTGACGGTGACGATGACGATGACGATGAAGATGACGATGACGATGACGATGACGATAACGATGACGATGACGATAACGATAACGATAACGATAACGATAACGATAACGATAACGATAATGATAATAATGTTAATGATAATGATAATAATGATAATAATTATAATAATTATAATAATTATAATAATGATAATAATTATAATAATTATAATAATTATAATAATGATGATAATGATGATAATTATAATAATTATAATAATTATAATAATTATAATAATTATAATAATTATAATGATAGGAATTATAATAATTATAATAATTATAATAATTATAATAATTATAATAATTATAATAATTATAATAATTATAATAATTATAATAATTATAATAACTTCGTTAAGTATTTTATAGCTATAATTTTTTTCGTTTAGGTATATTATAATTTCTATATGATAAATAGAAGTAAAAGTGTAAATACTTATATATTATTTTAAATTTTTGTTTCTTTATAATATATATTTATTTATACTTTCTAATCATTTTACAGACAATATGATAGAAATCAGCAGCAAAATCTGGCTCGTTGGGTTGACTGGTAGTGGCAAAAGTTCAACCGGAAACACAATCCTTCACGGCGAAAGATTTTCTCTCCGCTCGAATAAAATCAGCGTTAAGTCAGACTTGGTGTTTGGTGAACCTGTCACAGTTATAGACGGCTCAGGTATAGGGGACAGTGCTGAAGACTTGCAGGTGGACATGAAAACACTGGTGGAAAATGTCGAGAAAGTTTTTAATAAAACTCTCAATGGAGAATTCGCAGCGCTGGTGCTTGTTCTTAAATTTTGTGACCGGTTCTTGAAACAACATAGGGACTGTGTTAAGACCATCAAGGCTATTTTTGGAGACCATGTATTTAAAAAGTGTGGGGTTATTGTATTAACTTATGGGGAAATCTTTGATAAAGAAGATAATATTGGGACATTTATAGAGTGGTGTTTGAGACAGGGTGGGGATTTCAGAAACCTGTTGATTGAGTGTGAATACAGGTGTGTTTTGTTCAACAACAAAGCCCCGTATAAAAAACAGAAGAAGACGATGGTCGCTCAATTAATGAAATGCATTGACAACGTTAAATCCTACGGTGAAGAAGATTTTCTTCAAGCTGAAGTCGGACGTGAGAAACTAAAACAAGAGGGAGACATTGGAGCTTGGGACCAAGATGGACTTAAACAAGAGGGACTTATTAGATCTTCGGACAACAAGGATACCCACCAAATTATTCTTATTGAGGGAAGTACTGAACAACATCATCAGCCATGCTTAACACTAAACGAGCGTATCGTTATATTCTTTTTTATAATTCTAATTAAGCTACTGGTGTTTTTGATTGTATTTTATACATACTAAGTAAAGTAAAGTTCCCTTTTCAAAGCTGTCGGTCTATAGGGCAACTGAAGTAGAGTTCACTATTTTTTGTGTTCTGGGCATATGAAGAAATAGTATGGTCAGCACTACGCCCAGCCGCTTTTACTTTCCGTAACGTTAGTTAGGTACCCATCAGAGACGGTATACTGACTTGAACACGGATTCGAACTCGAGACATACTGGTTAGCAGTCCAGCTCTCAACCGCTAGACCACACCTATCACTAAAACTGAATTACTTTTAGCACTGTATTATTGTCATCCGACAAGTTAGCGAAACAGTAAATCTCATATATATATACATACATATATATATATATATATATATATATATATATATATATATATATATATATATATATATATATATATATATATATATTATATATATATATATATATATATATATATATATATATATATATATATATATATATTTTATATATATATATATATATATATATATATATATATATATATATATATATATATATATATATATATATATATATATATATGGTTATATGACAAATGATCTCAGACAAAATATCTCACAGACAAATTATCCCAGGACATATGGTCTCAAGGAAAAATGATCTCACGGACAAAAGATGCCGGGACAAAATATATCATGAACACATGATCTCAGACAAAATATCTCAGACACAATGTCTCACAGCGAAATTTCAATAGTGTGTGCGATGATTATGGTTATTTGAACTTTTTTTTTATTGACTGTCAATATGGATTTGTTTACTTTTTTTACGTATAATAATTGTGAATAAGATGAATTTGTTAAATTTAACAAACCATCAAAAGGTTTATTAAACTTAATCTATATAGTAGCATTTGATTTAAAAAAGGAAAATTTAAAACAAACTTACTCCTTTAGCTTGAAAGTTATAATAAATGATAATGTTTAAACAAATAAAAAACGGTAGCTATACAATATTAATGTTCAAAACACGCGAAATATTTTTCGAAAATGTAAATGGGTCTTCATGTTCGTAACGTTAAACTATTGTTTTTATTGCATCATCAAAAAATATAACGTTTACGTTTCTATGCTATAAGGTACATCGTTATGATCACACCTCTCCAAACTATGTGATCATGTATTGTGTGAACTCTTGCTCGACATGTTCTAGCTTCACATTTCCAGCTCTCTTTGCCTGCTGCTCCAATTATGGCATTTTTAAACATAAATTCACCAGAAACCAATGTTCTAAAACATTTCTGCGAGGTAACGAAAGATGCCATGGCTGAGTAATCACCGCTAATACTGCTTTGTTTGCATACGCACTTCGACAAACTTAGCTTCGCAATGACCACTGTCGTTTAAATTACCATTTGTAACTTGATCACCTAATTTTGACCGACGCATAACTATTGACTTTTGGTGTTCGTGGTATTGTCCTTGAAGCGTATATTTCTTTCCCTTAAGGCATGTCTTAGCCATCAAAGCGGGCGTCCACCTTGATACGAAGGTGTGTCGTAATTGTTTTTTGATTCCCTTTGATCTAATTTCGTCCACCTGACGTGGTAGGATTGTCTAATGTTTGGCAAGCTCAATTACACTGTCTATAGAAAAAATGTCTTTAATCTTCGTATACTGTATTTGCAATCCTAATTTTAAAATGTTTAGTGCAATATGACAAAATTTATACGGCTAACAGTTCTTACAATTATTTTATAGACCTATAAAAATAGTAAACTTGGTAAACAAAACAATATGACAGTCAATAAAAAAAATTCAGTTTAACTAAAATCATCCAATACACTATTACAATTTAGCTGTGAGATATGTTGCCTGAGATATTTTGTCTGAGATCAATAGTAGGCCCTACGTGGTTATCATTTCGAGATTTCTTGAAGCTAAAGTAACGGTCTAATAAATACTGTTGTATTTCGCCCCCCCCCCCCCTCCACCAACCCATTTTGGCTGATCTGTAGTTGAAAAATAAGAGAACAATAGGCTTGTATTTTGTGGTTGGGATGAAAATTGATATTTTTCTGTCTTTTGTAACGAACTTGTAGTAAATGCAAAATCTTCGTTTTATTTATTATGTTATTTTTTTTTTTTTTGTCAAAGTGTAAAATTTGGAATTGGTTTCGTTTTTGACATTGTAGTATTAATTTGTAAGAAGCAATAATAAATGTTGTTTATTATTTTATTATATTAGTTTTTTGTATATCAAATAGCCATTTACACAGTACGCTTACTATCGGTATGTTAATTTTACTATTGTTATAAACTATAAATCAAAACAAGAGTTTAGAACAGAGGTTCTTAAACTTTTTTAGTTACTGAACCCCCACCGGTTTCAAATGCGAGTTCATAGAAACCATCTTAATTATTGTTATCGATTGAGAATCATATGAATCGAGTGTCGACCTTGACCTCCGCTGAATACCTGAGATTGACTCAGCTAACCCCTGAGGTTCGATTGAACTCATTTTGAGAAACACTGGTTTAAAATATGTGGCTCTGTGTTTTTGTGATAATTGTCGCAATCAATGTCGTCAAAACATAAAATGAAACAAGACCTCACTCCTTTAAAATAAAACCACAACCAGCTTATATGCACTCACAATAGTTCACTAGAATTATTCATATATAAATTCTAACAAAAAGTATATAGTCTAATTGAGATATTTTTTCACCTCCTCCAGATATTAGAATTGTCTCGTATACTTCAATAAAACGGTTATTCGTGTATTTAGTGCAAATGTCTTTAAACATTAATTTCCCAGCTGCTCTAAGTCTTCCCCAGCTGGTGTTGTGATCTGTATTGTGAAATAAAAATCCTCAAAAAATATAGAATCTCGGCTGTATTGTACACACAGATTTTGTCGATAAACTCCACAAATGTAGAACCTCTGTTGTATTGCACAGGCAGATTTTGTCCATAAACTCCCGAAATGTAGAACCTCTGTTGTATTGCACAGGTACAAAGTTTGTCGATAAACCCCACAAATGTAGAACCTCTATTGTATTACACAGGTACAAAGTTTGTCGATAAACCCCACAAATGTAGAACCTCTATTGTATTGCACAGGTACAAAGTTTGTCGATAAACTTCACAAATGTAGAACCTCTGTTGCATAGACACACTGTTTGACGATAAACTCCACAAATGTAAAACCTGGGCTGTATTGCACAGACAGTTTGTCGATAAACTCCACAAATGTAGAACCTCTATTGTATTGCACAGGTACAAAGTTTGTCGATAAACCCCACAAATGTAGAACCTCTATTGTATTGCACAGGTACAAAGTTTGTCGATAAACCCTACAAATGTAGAACCTCTATTGTATTGCACAGGTACAAAGTTTGTCGATAAACTCCACAAATATAGAACGTCGGCTGTTTTACACAGGTACAAAGTTTGTCGATAAACCCCACAAATGTAGAACCTCTATTGTATTGCACAGGTACAAAGTTTGTCGATAAACCCCACAAATGTAGAACCTCTATTGTATTGCACAGGTACAAAGTTTGTCGATAAACTTCACAAATGTAGAACCTCTATTGTATTGCACAGGTACAAAGTTTGTCGATAAACTTCACAAATGTAGACCCTCTGCTGTATTACAACACCTGCTCCAAAGACAGTCTGTCGATAAACTGTACTTCGGCACGAGCAGTTCACACAGCAAGCCCTATAGTTAACGCGTCACTGATTGGTTGATTTTAACTGCTGTGTAGCGAGATACACATTTTGTTTTGTGTATTGAAAAGTTGAGTGAGGAAAGTCTAACTACTCGTGTTTGGTAAGAGATATACTCATTGCTATCAAACTAGATATAAGACAATCTAGGTTTTCAAGACATTTCTGGGACTATATAAACAAATTTTAATTCGATGATATAAAAATTGATTTTTCCCTTATAATGGTCAGCCAAGAATCTAATCAACTAACATGTAGATGTATCTTCATTATCAGACGCAAACTTATACTAAAACTAACTTTAATCATCGTCTACTTTCAACGTACTACTTGTGGGGGAAGAGTTAAAAACTCAAATAAATGGAATTTTTAATTTTTTATATCTACGTTTATCAATAATTAATTTTGATTTGATATCTTGAGGGAATAATATTTTGTAAAATGTATCATCATCGAATGTCACATAATAACAAACTCAGTAACAAAAACGATAGCCCACAGAATTCACAACTTGCAATAGGATTTGCTTATGAAAAACAATTATTGAGATATATAAAAATAATAAAAACTAACAAATATTTCGCTTAGTTTTAATTGTCTTGATAAAGTTATTGTCTTCCTAATATAATATGTACACGTATGACTTTTGGCTTATCTGGATAGGACAACGAGACTTAGACCTAAGCCTGTCCATCCCCTCTAAACAACAGTACACTATTTAAATAGCCACACAGGCCTACACACCACAAATAAAACTACACATCTTATCGTGTGCTTCGCTTGTAGAAAAAAATGTACAAAACCTTACGGAGTAATCAGCGTTGAAAATGTTCTTATAGAAAAGTTTAATATGTTGTGTTTGAGACAAAGTTCAAAGGGTCAAGGTCGTGTGTCCTATCACGTGTTGTCATTTGTTTGTTATCTCCCACCTGTGACCAGGTAAACAGTCTCACGTATCACGTGCTTGAGCGTGCATTTAATGCATTGGTAAATACAGATCATGGGGCGGCGTGGCCTAGCGGTAGAGAGCTAGACTGCTGACCAGAAAGTCTCGAGTTCAAACCGGGTTCAAATCAGTCGAATGTCCCTGAACCCACCCAGCTCTGATGAGTACCTGACGTTAGGCTGGGCATAGTGCTGACCAGGCTACCTCTTCATATGCCGAGGTCTCTGAACAGATAAACTCTACTTCATCCGCCCCATTTGACTTGGACACGAACATGAAATGATGATGATGAAATACAGACCTTGGGAGATAAGACTGTTCCTTAACTAAACCTGGTTATTTTTAAATCTAAAACTAAATATGTTATTGATTCAATGCGCCTTATTATTGCGACTACTGTACATAAAGATACTCATGAACACAAACGGGGATTGAAAGGGGGTTAAAAAATGGATTAAATGGTAGAAAATGAAGAGATTGTGTAACGGACTATGAAATGATTGCGTAGCGGAATATAAAAGAATTGAGCGACAGAGTATGACGTGATTGTGTGACGGGATATCAAAGATGGTGTGACGGAATGTACAATTGTTGTTTGAGAGAATATTCAATGATTGTGTGACTGAATAAATAGTAATTTACGACAACAAATGATAGAATCAGTATATAACTAATTACAATTGCTAATGTTTTTTTCATGTATTAATTTAATTGACCCTTCCGATTTGTAGTGCTGTTTTTATTGTATAATTCAGTTTGTGAAGTGTCCCTTGACTTTGTAATGCACCGCACCTCACGCTTGGATAGAGGGGGGGGGGGGGTGTACTTAAAAAATTCAAGACCAGACAGGGTTGGCGCTTTTATTTATTTCTAGGGGCGTTTTGAAACACAGTTAGTCCATTGCTTGTCAAGTATGTTAAAAACTAAATGAAAATTGACATTAAAAGCACACAACTTTCCTCCCTTGCAATACAATGGAATGTGTTTTAAACAACACACTAGAACTACTAATTTGACCACTTAAACGTCATTATGGTTTCCTCTGGCATTCAACGTCCGCTACTGTGGTCTGTTAACGTTTATTAAGGTACGGTAAATAGTTACAGTTTTGTTTGACATGTGGTGTGGTCTAGTGGTAAAAATGTGTCTTTGCTAGAGCAAAAGTAACGAGTTCGGAGTCTACCACGGGCGGAAACGATGGATTAGCGAATTTGACATGCTCTACATAGTCTACATAGTCCTTGTGGTTTGTTTGGATTGGTCCGTTTATGGATATCTGCTCCACGTGTTATTATTGTTTATCCGTTTAAATAGCTTTAACGGATATGGTTAAAATCACTGAAGAAAGTATTACTGGCCTGTTAAACTATGTGGTCAGATATTTTAAATAGAAAAATAACGTCGCTGTTTTTTTTTTTTACGTAGCAAGGCTTGAATCACACGCTAGTATAAATATTTTTCCTATTTATAAACCTAAATTAGGAATGATTAAAATTCTTATATTATTTATTTATTGGTCAATAATCAGTAGCTGTTCTCGCAATGGTTGTAGTTTATGCGATTTAACTGTTTTTTTTAGGTGGATCTATTTTTGTGCTATAAAATATGTTTTGATGTACATGTTGTTATTGTATTTTACAGACAACTGGAATCACAATGCCTAAAAAGTTACCCAAAGAGCCAAAGATTTTGTTGTTGGCTGGGAGAGGTAGCCTGGGTAAAAGCTCAACCGGCAACTCAATCGTTGGTAAACCTGTTTTTAAAGTTGACGCCGGGCTTGATCAAACTTCTTACGAGATCCTGGCGCACCAAACGGACGATATGATTGTTATTGACGGCTCCGGCATTGGGGAAATTATCGACGATCTGAAAATTAGTCGGGAATCGCTGGTGGAGAATATAGAGTCATATTTCAGCGAGTACAACGTATGGTTTACGGCACTGATTCTTGTATATAAGTACGGAACACGATACACAGCGCAGGAACAGAAAGCTGTAGAGATGTTGAAGTCACTGTTCGGTCAAGACGTTTTGAAAAAATGGGGCGTGGTTTTGTTCACCAATGGTGACCAGTTTGAGGAGCCGTCCACGTTTCATGAATGGTGTGGTCAGCAAGAGGGTCGGATAGTTGACCTGATGAATGAATGTGGGCACAGGTTCGTTTTGTTTGATAACAAGACTCAAGAGGCTGATCTGAAGAAAGAACAACTTGATAAACTTATGGAGGAAGTGGGGAAAATATCCAGCCCAGGATACACGATGAAAAACTACAAGAAAAAAACAACTTCGTGCAGAAGAATATGTATTTATTCTGTTGTTGCTGTATGTTTAATTGTCTTCATTGTGGTTGTTGTGCTTGTAATTTGGCTATGATTTAATGTCGATTATACCAGTTGCACGAAATATTTGTATTTCATTTCATGTCGTTTGTTTCAAATAGTTGTCTATTTAATTAAATTGTAAAGTTTTTATTTAATCTACTTGAAGTTGTTATTTTTATGCTTCGATAAAGCAAATATTTATTTAGTAGTAATTATTTTACCAATGCTAGTTGAAAATGTAAATTATAATTGGTAAAGATCTTTCAAAATTTATCGCTTTTTGCCAAAGACTTTCAACATCTCTTATCTATTATATTTGTAAATATGTATCTTCTTAGACATAACCATATTTTCAGTTTATTTTATAAAAGTTCTTTATTCGATATCAATTTTTTTTTAAAATTCTATACATTATTATATGCCATATTTTTTATTTCATTAGATTATTCCAATTTTGAATGGGTGTCGTATAGAATCGCCAAAACTTTATATGACTGTGGTTACTAAATTATTACAATGTGTTGTTTCACTGTTGGCTATTTTTGCTGAAAACATGTTTCTTTAATCATAATAGCAATGAATAATGCTACAACTGTAATGTTTTCAAAGTTTTCAGATATCTTCAGTAAATGATGACATTCATTATGAATACCAATCAGTAATTAGGTGGTTAGTGGGACAGTAGCCATTCATTAAGGATGAAATATGTGGGGTAGCGGCCATACATAATGTGGCTAACTATAAGGTATTTGCTATTCATGAAGTTAGCCAAATGATATGTAGTGGAGATTAATAAATTAAGCCAAATGAGGGGTAGTGGACATTAATAAACTAAACCAAACGATGTGTAGTGGGTATACACCGCGGTGGAATTTCTCTTTTATATAATAAATGCTTGTTCATCCAAACTGGATAATGAATAAAAAATATCAGTTTTAAACACCTCCTGTTTTTGTTTCCTTCTGTGAGAATAAAACCCTAAAACTTGAATATAATTACCATCTTCATTTTAAAATGTGTGTATTTATACCTGAATGGTGTCATTCAAACTAACAGATCTAAAATCGTACGATATTGTATTTTAATCATCGAACGGATTCTGAGAAAATGGTTTGTTTTTTGTAAAGTATGTCAGTCATAAATAATAGACAAAACCAGCCTTTCGTAATTTAAACTGAGTGTCGCTACATTTCGTATTTTATAAACGATTCTAAAGGCTACATTAGTCTGATGGTCTTCTGCATGCGTTTGTTTGGTCCTAGGTGCTTTGACCACAGGTGCTTTGATCATAGGGGATTTGACCATAGGGGTTTTGACTATAGGGGGTTTGGCCACAGCGGAGCTTTGACCATAGGGGGTTTGACCATAGGTGGTTTGACCACAGCCGGGCTTTAACCATAGGGGGTTTGACCATAGGGGGTTCGACCACAGCGGGGCTTTGACCATAGGGGATTGGACCACAGCGGGGCTTTGACCGTAGGGGGTTTGACCATAGGGGGTTTGACCACAGCGGGGCTTTGACCACAGCTTGGTTTTGACCACAGATGGGCTTTAACCATAGGGGGTTTGACCACAGCGGAGCTTTAACCATAGGGGGTTTGACCATAGGGGGTTTGACCACAGCGGAGCTTTAACCATAGGGGGTTTGACCATAGGGGGTTTGACCACAGCGGAGCTTTAACCATAGGGGGTTTGACCATAGGGGGTTTGACCACAGCGGGGCTTTGACCACAGAGGGGGGGGGGGTTAACCAAAATATATAGATTTTAAAATAGAAAATATAAACTGTTATTTGATTTAAACTTATGATACAATACGATTTTATATATATTTTTCCTGAAAGTCTATTAATGGAAATTATCATGTACTAAAACAAAAGTCAAGTACGATATTATAGTCTCCACATAAAGGCTGGTGCTAAGCCTCATAGATTTATTTTAAATATAAATGGAATACAAATAATGCGACATAATGTAGATGTACTTGAAAATACATAGCATATGTAAAGGATAGAAAATGATAAAAAACATGCCAAAAGTATAGTCAAAAAAGTAATACTTGTATGGTTAACTAAATGACAGATGTGCTATAGCACGCAATTATGTCAGTACATCTCTTTGACCATATGTCTAAACAGCGCTTGTGATCAAACACCCGTTGAAAAACCACCTATGATCAAAGACCCTCTGCTGAGAAAACGCCTGTGGTCAAATCCCCTATGGTCAAAGGCCCTATGGTCAAATCCCTGTTATGATCAAAGCCCCGTTGTGGTCAAAGCCTCTATGGCCAAAGCCCCTATTGTCAAAGCCCCTCTGTGGTCAAACCACCTATGGTCAAACCCCATTTGGTCAAAGCACCTGTGGTCAAAGGTCCGCGCACTGTTTGTTTTGATCACCAACTTATATATCTTAGGTGTTCTCCTCTTCTGTATCTTACCCTTTCATGTTTGTTTAGTCTTTACGTGCTTCATTATCAGTGTGAGCCTGTTCAAGTTAACGTGAGTCTTGTAATGAAATCATCACATCTTCTGTGGGCCAGAAGTGCTCATTGACAACAAAATATCACAGGATAAAATATATAAGGACAATGATCTCATGGATAAAACATTTCAGAGAAAAAAATATTTCAGAGACAAATATCTCAAAGTCAACATATCTCAGAGATAACATATCTCATGGACCAAACATTTCAGAGAAGAAATATTTCAGAGACAAAATATCTCAGAGATAAATAACTCAGAGTAAAAAATCTCAGCGATAAAATATCTCATGGACAAAACATTTCATGCAAAACACATCTCAGAGACAAAATGTCTTAGACAAAATGTCTTAGACAAAATGTCTTAGACAAAATGTCTTAGACAAAATGTTCAACTCAAAATATCTACATATAATATTAATGTAGTAGTCGATTGAACTTTTGCTGTAAAACTATTATTGTGTCGTTTATCTATTCAAAATTGGTTGTGATTAATGAGTTAACAAAATTAGCTTATCAGTATATATATATACGTATATTAGAACATGTTTGTGTTTAAATGTTTTATCTCATGTGGATGCTTCTATTTCCCCACCCACCTGTGTATGACTATGTTTTTCCTTGTTCTAATTTTAACACAATGCACAGTGTAAAGGCCACAGCTGTCGGTCGCCACATGCGAAGTTTTCAAATAATGAAGGTGGTGTGTTGTTTGCGCCAGTTGCTCTAGGATTTAGCTACGTGGATCGTTTATTTCAGTGTTTCTGCTGTGGCTAGATCTACAGAAGATTCTCCTTGCTGAATAATGTAAATTTGTTTTGCATAAGACATTTTGGTTTTTAGATTTGTTGATCAAGTTATATGCTTATAATTAACTGTATTTTATTGCTAAAATGTAAACATTGTCTAAAATAATGTACTTTAATGTTGAATTATTTAAAGTATGAAAAAGTGCGTGTACATGTATGATTGGAAAGCCATCTTTCTGTTTTAATAGGCATACTACACACATCTAAATGGCGTGATGGATTTGCACAGAAATATAGCGATAGAGCTAACAATTTCATTTCTTAATGAATATGCAACGAACACCTAAAAATGTTGATAGACTTACAAAATACACCTATATATCTTGATAGTCATACAACAAACAACTAAATATTTTTATAGCCGTAAAAGAAACACCTTAATCTGGTGATAGCCATACAACATTCACCTAAATATGTTGATAGATCTTCCACATTCACCTAATTATGTTGATAGACATACTTCATTCACCTGAATATGTTGATAGCCATACAACATATACCTAAATATGTAAATAGCCATACAAAATTAACTTGAATATGTTGATAGCCATGCAAAATTCACCTAAATATGTAGATAGACATACAACTTTCACTTAAATATGTTGATAGCCATACAAAATTCACCAATACATGATTCACCTATATATGTTGATAGCCTTACATAATTCACTTAAATATGTAGATAGACATACAACATTCACCTAAATATGTTGATAGCCTTACATCATACAACTAAATATGTTGCTAGCCATACAACTTTCACCTAAATATGTTGATTGACATACAACATTCACCTAAAAATATGTAAATATGCATGAAACATTCACCTAAATATGTTGTTAGATATAAAACATTCACTCAAATATGTATTTAGACATTCAACATTCACATGAATATGTAGATAGCCATACAACATTCACCTAAATATGTAGTTAGCCATACAACATTCACCTAAATACGTACATAGCCATACAACATTCACCTAAATATGTAGATAGACATACATGATTCATCTCAATATGTTGCTAGCCATACAAGATTCATCTCAAGATGTTGCTAGCAATACAACATTCATCTCAATATATTACTAGCCATACAACATTCACTCAAATATGTAGATCTAGGACTAATGAACGTGCGTTCACATGAACACAAATGTATTGATCCTATACCAATGCAAGGCAGGTGCTGCTAGTTAAAGCGATCGATTCAGCAACTCCTATCGAACTATGACTGGTTATTGTAATATCGGCTTTGTATTGGCCTGTGTTATAGCCACCTGTTGCGTTTATCTGAGCTTATCGTGAGTCATGATAAGTATAGCCGCGTCAGTCGTAATGTGTATGGCCGCGTCAGTCGTTATGTGTATGATCGCCTCAGTAGTTATATGTGTGGTGGCGTCAGTCGTTATATGTATGGTTGCGTGAGTCATTATTTGTATGAACGCGTCAGTCGTTATATGTATTGTCGCGTCAGTCGTTATATGTATGGTTGCGTAAGTTGTTATATGTATTGTCGCGTCCATCATTATATGTATGGTTGCGTCAGTTGTTATATGTAGTGTCGTGTCAGTCGTTATTAGTATGGTCGCGTGAGCTATTATATGTATTGTAGCTTAACTAAGTATAATGGGTGAAAGGGGGGGGGGGTGAATGGCTGTTGTTATGTTACAAGTAAATTCTCAACTACTCACCTGATATTATTGTTCTTTTTTTCCCACGTTTTCTTTAACTTGCTTTCTCTGTCTGTTTTTCCAATCCAATCTTGCGATCGAAATTTCTGGCACTTCCCAGTTAGCTAGCGCGCTGATATTTTCAGGGAAGCTTTCTTTTGGATGACCATAGAATATTCAATTGTTATTATTACTAAATTGATCAATGGAAACATTTTATTGAGCATTTTAGACCGCTATATAATCTATATATATAATTCTCCTCTGCGAGCCATTAGAAAAAAAAACCAGCGACGCGTAGCTAGCCTCTCTCTTGCCGCGCGCAGTGAAGCGAACGATCCCAAGTCGCGACAGGCTTAGGGGCAGATAATTTAGTTTTAACCGACTTTAAACTTACAGGAGGTAACTATTACCACTGGTGGCCAGTTGGGGGGAGACGATATGGTCTAGTGGTTGGGCACACGATTGCTATGGGGCTATCCCACTCGGCGCGGGTTCAAATCTATGTGTTCTAGTCAGTAACGTATTCAAACAACGTGTTTTTTACGAGTTGTCTTTTTACGAGACTTTAATGCTATACAACTTTTACGAGATTTTAATGCAAACAAACAGACAAAGACTAAAAAGTAGAAAATAATAATCATTAAAAAAGTTATAAAAAACCCACGTTTTCTGATTGAACTAAAAAGTAGAAAATAAATGCTATACATCACAATAATGCAAGCGATCACTCTACTATAAGCTATCAAAAACCTCTTGTGCAGATGAAGTAGAGTTCATATGTTTCTGACCCCTGTGTATTATACTTTACTTTTACAATGCTACTCCTCATGCACAGCTCAAAATGAAATGCTACATTTGTTCTTAATCACTGTAAAAAATCATTAAAAAATAATTCCTTGTTTCGTCAATCTTTTACGGTTAGGGACAGATGAAGTAGAGCTTATCTGTTTAAATGATCTGTGCATATATTTGTGTTTTTGTGCTATACCTAGTCTCTTAAGTTTTTGTAGAGTTCCAGGATCCGAACTAAAGATTCTCGGTGTAGAAGTTATGTGCTACATCATACAACCACACCATCTCTAATTTCTAATTGTTTGTGTCTTTTCATTCTAGACAAACATGACTGGTCAAGAAACCAAAAAAATTTTTGTTGTGGGACGAGGTGAAAACGGCAAGACGATGACCACACAGACCATTGTTGGAGAGAACAGCAAAGTCGTCTATACGTCTGGAACTATTAATGTTATATCTTCAGCAGACGATAAAGTAGATAAAGTAGAAGTGGCTGATGGGACAGGTGTAGGCGAACCGCTGGAAGATCTGACCATTGATATTGGGGATATTATAAAATCAGTAGATGACGTCATGGTTAAACAATTTATTAACACTTTAACTGCCATCGTGCTTGTGTTAAAGTATGGCGTTAGGTTCACAATGCAGGAAAAGAAAAGTTTACACATTGTCAAAGATATCTTTGGACAGGACGTGATGAAACGACGCGGTGTTGTGGTCATAACCTATGGAGACAATTTTTATAAGGAAAATGATAAGACTTTTCAAGAATGGTGCCGAGAACAGACAGGTGATTTCAGGTCTCTGATGGAAGAGTGTAACTACAGGTGTGTGTTGTTTGATAACAGAGATGGGTCAAAGCGTGAGTCCCAGGTCAAAGAGTTTATGGCAACCGTGGCACAGATTGATGCTACCATTCCCTATAAGTATACACCAGATAAAAATAGTAGAGAGAAGCTTATTAATGAATACAAAAAGCTGGAACCCGTTAAGGCCGAAGAAAGGCATAACGTTGAAAAGCCAAAAGACAATTGCAATGGATTCCTAAGTTGTATCAGGAGTTTGCTTTGTTACATTTCTGGTTGTTTTTGCCGTCTTTGGGATTGTTGTAAGAGTTGTAACTGGTGGAATAGTTGTAGGAAATCGGAGTCAGAGGCTCCCAAACAGGGAGACTCGACTCCAAAGGAAACAGACTAGTCCTAGGTAAGAGCAACACTGTTTTCGGAAATTTCAGGTCGGCTTTATTAAAAAATATACACCTCATTGTAACAAAATATATCATAACACACACACACACATATATATATATATATATATATATATATATATATATATATATATATATATATATATGCAATAAAAGATAAAAATATTCTGAAATTGTGTAAACATATAACAAATGACTTAATATGTATCTAACTAAAATACGTGGGTCAGTCATAAAATGTCGGTAAGGGTATTCAATACTTAAAATAGTGACCTACGCTTTTTTGTAACAATGTTTATATGCGTGTGTGCACATTTTATTTAAAAAATAAAAATCGCATAACTAATAACAGCGTGTAAAGATTCATACTTTGTATATCAATATCTAATTATTGTTTTTAAAAATTAATTAAACATCTAATTATATTAAAGTGTATGTCACACGACATTCTTATTTAGTCTTGCTTTTAGTGTCAAGTTTGAAACAAATTGCTTGAGTAGAAATTGGGGAAACTCCCTTCTCAAGTTACCACTAATGACGGAGCTAGTTAAAAGAGTACAGCAATAATTAAACACACGCGAGTAAAACTTAATTTAAAATTGAAAAGAGACTTAATTTAAAATGACATTTGGAATGTATCGGTTACCTCAACGCTGAATCTTTTGGATACTTTAGCCTAGTTTCAAATAGTTTGACAACTGACGGTATGGCTCCTATAAAATGTTGATAAATTTACAAATACACATAACTCGAATTATTTAGATATGAAACGTGAACACTTTTGAAGGTTGAGAGACGATTGGGCTGGTGCGAAGTTTTTGTATAATTTATTTCAAGATTGAAGTGGCACAAAAATATTGGTTGCAAAAAACTGCTCTTGATCTAGGCAGTATGTGAATTTGTGGAAGTTTTATTTTAAAAAGAAAAACTGTTTCTCGTTCCAATAAAACAATAAATCAACACATTGGGAAGAAATTACTTTTTTATTACTTTAAGCTTCAAGTCAATCTATGAACAAAGGTGATAAATTGTTTAATGCAACAGCCGAATAATACGATATACTTTGATGTCATCATTGTGAAAATGATGACAAATACCATGTTTGCCTAAATCCAAATTAATTGACATTTGTTAATTTGATTTGTGTATTATTTATTTGTAATTGCATTATTTATATGAATAATAATATTTTTCTATTTGAAAATAATATATAAACCTGCATAGAATTAGCAAATGCAATTTTTTTTTACATTATTTACTGTATTATTTTTAACACTATATTTAAACTATCGTGTTGGTAAATTAATATATTACATTAGGGCTCAAGTTTAGATAAACAAAAACACGTTGAGACTAAAACAGAAAAAAAGAATTTGTAGCCGACAATTAAACGTTTGGAAATGAAGCGTAGCTCAAATAATACCACATTTAAATTGTATTTAACACGTGTTTTTTGCTGTAAATTTGTCAAACTTTTTTTCAAATTAACTTTACACTTTATTTATATTCGCTGGCAGTGGTATAGCGTTAGATTTTACATTGAAAATCAATAATCATCCCCCCATCAACACACACACACCAACAAATCTTTTCCCCGATCAACCAACATACCTTTTTATCATTTTGTGATTTCCAATATCACAATGACTATTTAATAAATATAATGTTCTATGTAGTGGGTTTTATATTAGGTGTAGTATTTAAGTTTTATAGTCTGGATTTTTCTCTTACTGAGTTTAGCCCCCCCCCCCCCCCCCCGAAAAAATTCAACGGCCTTTCCCCCCCCCCCCCCGAACGAAATGAAATTTATATAATTTATATAGAAAATATATACCTTTAACAGTGTCAGCCCACCCACCCCCCCCCCAAGAAAGTCTACCGCCCCCCCCCCCGAAAATTTCAAGTGCCCCCCCCCCCCGGAGAAAAAATCTGGAAGAAACACTGTTACTGAGCATTGTGTATATGTGCATTTTAAAAGCATGCCACTCTAGCTGTATTAATGTTATTGTAGCAGTTTTTTTTTAATATTAGCGTCGTGTTAACTGAAAACATTTCTTCAGTCTGTGTATCACTACTACACCATCTTATTTGTATCAAAATCATCCTTTGACCTGTCCATGATTTAAGTCGTTTGTTAACATTACGACATCACTGCGCCACTTGCCAAAAAATAGGTTTTTCTACTTTATTGTACACATATTTGTCTTAGCTTTATCTCATGGTATCTGGTCATTATTTATTTTATTAAATGTTTTATTGGTTTTTTCATCGTAATTTTAAACGAGAGCTGCGTGTATCAGAGGACAGCCATAAACAAGAAAGAAGACATACACAATTTTAAGATTTAAAAAAAAAAATCCAGGTCAGGTGGGTTTTTCTAATAAACCGGTATATTTTCAAAAATAGCTCTACGTGTTTTGTTATTGTTATTTTTGTTTTTGTTTCAATACATTTATTGCATTGCAAAATAAAAATGTAGACAACTGTCAACAAACTTAAGTTTAAAGCACCTATCTCGCATACGTCCCCTAGTTATCAAGGACCAAATAATCTGTTGTTTGCTCTTTATGCAGGATGGTGCGTATTCAACTTGTATGGGTCTAATGGTGACACTTATTCTGTAAGTTGAAACAAGCAGCAGCTGATTAAAAACAGAGTTACATTTGTATTATTCAGTATGTACAATTACAAATGTTGCAAAATTCTTAAAATAGGCAATGACTCCCATAATTTTAGCGTCACTTAAAAATGTAGGGTCTTCTGTAAAATTAAGACCATATAAAATATAGGACCCTCTAAATATAGAGCCCTTAATAATGTTGGATGCGCTAATGTGCATCCATCAATACCTCCTAAAATTATAGGGGGCGCCATAAGAATTCCCTCGGACAAGTGTATGACAAATGGCGTGAACTCTAACCCGAAAGTCTCTAGTAGTGAGTAGTATATTATAATATAGTACTGGTGTGTGTTCATCCAGCTATAATGGGTACAGGAATCACATTATAGTAGGTAAAAACTGTTGGGCTTATCAATGGCCACGCTACATTTGGATATCCCGACGTCACAGAATTATGGATAACTCTAGTTCACCTGCAATTTTTTATATTATGAATGAGTAACTGTTGTTTTTATTACACTCTACAGTAAAATTGTCTTTATTTTACTGGTGAATTTTCGAGGTAAAAAATATAACCGTAGGCCAATTGTATTATTTGCATACACTTTACATACTTTAAAATAGATTTCTGAGATGAACAGTATATGCAGTAAAACAATTCCTATTCTGAAATCTAGAATAATAAAAATAAAATTAATAAAAATATTATTGTCTTGGATTGTGTCATATTTGAGCAAAAATAATGTTTTGATCAACATGAAATGTGTCACTTAAAGCAAATACAAATAAATGCGTTGGTCATGGGGAACTTGTGGTGTGTTTATCTTCATTAAAAACAGATTTAGCTACATAACTTTATCGTCAGTACACAAAAATTAGTACACGTATGTGCACATATTACATAGCACACAATTCTCGCATTTTAAAACGCCTCTAAATCATGTAACGTTACTTCACATTAGCATTGAAACATCACCCTATATAATGCAGTATATTACTATGACTTTTATCATCATAATTTAACAATCTTGATGTCGCATTTTGTTTAAAAAAATAATTAAGTTAGTTGTGTTAACCAATTCATCTAACCATTTTAAATGTCATGAATTCATTAGAAAAAAAAATAAAAAATAATAATTGTGAAATGTTTAAGTTGTGTTTGAAGGATAGTTGATAATTTCAATGAAGTTCATCATCTCAACTGTCGATTTTTACTTATCTCTCACCGCTGACGCTGGTGACCCATTTCATTTTCTAGGAAAATCAACATGACGTGTGTAATGTGAGTCACTAGTAGACACCTATCTGAGGCTACACATCAGGGGAGATAACGTTTTTTTTTATTGTACTACCTGTATATTTTGTCTAACTGTTTAAATTGTTTTGGTTTCACTGAAAGGTTTGTTATCGAGGACTCACGAACAAAACGTGCCGTAAAGAGCACTGCAGGGGGTAATCATAACGCATCGTGGACACCCAAAGTGAAAACTGTTTTAATTTTAACTTGCATCAGTTGGCGACGGTGGAATAATGTTGCTAGCATCTGATGCTTAGACACTAATTACTCAGGGTTTAAAAATGTAAAACAACCCTCTTACTCCAGTTCCATCTAGATATTAATAATCCAGTGTCAACTGTCCTTACTCCCTGTTCAATTTTTTTTTAAATTTTTTATTAATTCAATTGTTTTAAACATTTAAAATAGAAATCATAATTTATTTGATGGTTTTACACAGCATCAAAAACATGAACATCAATTCCATATATAGTAATTAAAAGGAGAAAATAAAACGGCATAAGAACTAGAAAAAAATAAGGTGTGCAAACTCGGTTTCTCTTGACTGCTTAGTTTACTGTGCTCCGTCCTTGGCTGGGAAGTCAAAAGTTCACATTGTAGCCACACATAGACCGAAAATGAAACGACCGTGGGAGAAGGTTATCTGTAATACTCATACTGATCTATCATTCCAAACTTTTCCATCACACAAAATCGACCCCTGGCGATGAGGGCACGCTACCTTGATGTGTCCGCCAGTCCGGTTGAGTGGGGGGAAGTGTGTGTGTGGGGGGGGTGAGGTGTGTATCTCTTTCTACCATTCAGTTTCTGCCCTTTTAAGACCTGGGAAACAGAAGACTGTTCTAATATTAATTTACTTGAGGGCTGATTGAGTGATGTTTGGCTTGAGACTGTCTAAATTAAAATTAATACTTTATTTATTGTTTTCCTGTACATTTGTTTCAGTTAAATAAGAGTTCCAAGTCTATGTCTTAGCTTTGCTTGAAATATTTCTTTTAACTCAATGTCAGTGCATTTTGTGAAAATAAAAACTGAATTTATTCCTTGTTTGCCATATAGTCGATCTATAAATAGCCGTTGCTACTAGTCCCTTTTCGTCTTCTGTTCTTTGTCTAGTCGTGTTAATTAAGTTAAGTGTGATTGCTTTACTTGTTGTGGCTGTTTGATT